TCTATTGAATTCCTACAACTTTTTTGATGCCTCCAGTCTGAAATGAGATTGAAATAATATATGCCACAGATTCCCAGATTTGTTTTCCATCATTACCTTAAGAATTCGGTCCGGAAATGGGTCTTGAATTCGCGTGATATTGCTTTTTACCAAAGAAAACTAGTTTTAGATGACAATTTTCCCAAAAAAAACTGAAACTAATTTGTCAGCTAAGGTCAGATTTGAGAAAATTTTGTGCAACATGAGTGTTTCTCCAGCAAAGTTGAAAAATTCTTATGCCAAACTATTTTTATAATATTATTCTTAAGTTGCATTGTATTTTTGGTATGTTGGGTAGTTCATAGTTTTATTGGTGATTCTATCTTTTCAATGCACAAAATTACACTAAGTAATTGGATGTGTCGACGGAGGCCTGTATGTTTTCGCTTTCGTTACTAAAAGACAAGTGAACACAGACGTAGTTTATTAATGTAAAGGAAAGTAGGTGTACACTACATCTGAATTGTGTAATTTTTTGCAATATAAGAAGAATATTTATTTATAGATTTTGAATATCATTAATACTAGCATTAAATGTAAAGTAATCAATAAATTAGTTCAGACAATAACACATGCAATGTGAAACCAATGGAGGTGTTTCCTTATTTATGCTATTGGCCTACTTAAAATAAACAATAACATTTATTATGTCTGTTGCACCTGGCATTATAAAACTATTAAATAATGAAAAAGTAAAAATATTTATAAAAATATGTTCTTTTGAACATTCTCATTGAGCGGAACGAATCGTTAAAGAAACTGTCTGGACAATGACGTATAATTATGATACTGACTGCCGAAGGTAGGTGTTGGGTTGATGTTGTTGTTGCAAAATGTGTAGTGGCGAAACTTGACTGTGATATATATGGCTAATTCAATTCCAGCACAGAGAGCTAGATAGCTGATGGTATGATGATGAATGGCTGTTGATTTCATTAGTTACTTTCCAAGTGAATTATGCCAAGGATGAGTTTTACTATTGGTTGTATGGTTGCCTCTTCCAACCTGTCATCGACTCTAAGTATCGCTCTACCATCAAGAAACGAAGTTAATCTGTGTATAGACCTTGATTTGTCCAATGCTCCATGTTTCCTCAACTGTTGTATTTCTTTCGCGAAATCCGACACCTGGATGATCTTGACTATTAGTTATGTAACCTGAGACAGCTCCATAGGGGTCAATACTTCTGTCGAGGTTCTATGTTTGTCCTTGCAGTTGCTGACACAGTGCATTTCGTCTTAAATTCAAGATCAAAGGATCCGGCCAGAGAGATTCATTTCCATGTATAAATGTGGGTCCATAAAACCACACCAGACATCCTGCCAGCCGATCCGGTTTCATGCCTCTGGATTTGAAATCTGATAGAGAGCCTTTTTGGTGCTATTTTCGATTTTAAACAAATGAGTCGGGCTATAAGCCTTTCATCTGATAGCATAGCCCGAAGATATTTCACAACTCCATATGCCTTTTATGAAGTGTCCACAAATGTATGTATCTCAATTTTTGATAGTTTTTCTCCATTGAACACTCTTGGTACGACCACCAATATACTGCATTTTCTGCTGGCTGTTCCTCTTCCCAGCTAATTTTTTTTCGACCACTGCTGCTAAATAATCATCTTCCATACTGACACCACAGGACCTGCAATTCCTGGTGCGTCGAAGAATCTTGCCAAATCAGATGTGACTTCATTCACATTAGTCTTTAAACAAAATCGGTCCAGAAGTGTCGCATTTAGCTGTTTCTGCATCTCAATTGCCGTTGCTAAACTGTCCAGCGCCCATATGTTAAGATAATCAACATGTAACGTTCAATTTCCTTGTCTGGGTTGTCTCTCCATAGGATTAATTGATATTTGCGATCCCTTTTGTTGACTAGCACTTGTCTATACATCCTCTCAATGTCTGTTGTGAACACCAATCTGAGCGCAACAAGATTCCGCAGATCTTCTTGAACCCTGGGACCTGAGTACAAAATATCACTGGGAATACAACCTGACTTTTGTCGTGTTCCTATCTGAACATATGACGCAACACGAAAATACAATTTTATTTTCGTTTTGTCCCAGATCCTCGTATTTCTTCATAAATTTAGCATACTTTACGCGAAGCCCTATATCCTTTTATAAGCAACGCTCCAACGCTAAGAATCTGGAGTCTGCAATATTTAAAGATTCGCATATCTTCTCCAGACCGTCTGCTATCACTAGCATCACCACAAAACGGTTATTCTCATTGACAGTTGTACTTTCGTTGACGTGATTTTTACACTGTTCTTCAACTATTTTCAACTTCTGAATTTCAAAAACTTCATCTTTTTCGCGGAACCTCTTTAATAAGTCTTCCAATGCCTTCTTGTGAAAAAATTCAAAAGTTTATAGCATTTTTGTTGCCACTTCCTGCACATCTTTAAATCAATCCAAAAACACATCTTGTTTCTGAAACTCATTTATTTTTTCGGGCTCTGTTATTGCAAAGAATTGTTTCTTCTGATTTGCTCTTCTGAATCCCGTTCACTGCTTCGTGATGATTCGAAGCAACTCCTCAAACATTTGGTCAAACTCAAACTTTGGTATCCACAATCGATCCCATTCTTAGGCTGGAAATACATAAAGAGCATATTTCGTTGGCTTAAGTCATCGGCTGGCTTCTTTGGAAATGAACAAAGGAGCCTAGGGCCAAAATCGAACTAGGTCAACCTAAAACTCCTTTGTTCATCTACGAAGAAGCCTGCCGATGACTTAAGCCAGCCAGATAAGCGCTTTATGTATTTCCAGCTTTATGGCTTTACTCCCAGACCTTCTAGTGCCAAAAACATTTCATTAAGACTTTCGTGAAAGTTTTTCACTTAGGCAGGACTAATATCTTTTCAAGTATGTATCTTGAAGTGTTTTCCAAGAAATGTCGTAATTGGCCTCATTCAACTGAAGGTACTTTATGAGCTTTCAGCTTATCCAGTCACGTTGCCTTGATATACCAAAAAACCTACTCATAGAAGTGGATGTCTTCCACATGTGAGCGCAATTTCTCAATTGCAGTTACTATCTGACAGGGAGTAGCTTGACATGAACTGCCCCTTATAAAACTTTGAATCGACTACCCTCTGGCGTCTTATGCAGCTACACTGCTGGTGTGGGTGAAATTAAAATTTATCAGGGACTTTGATGCTTATCAGGGTCACGTCAGGTCACCAAAAGAATTTATTAATATAAAGCAAAGTAAATTTACATAACTCTTGAATTGTGTAATCTTCATAGGCCAACAATTTCTTGCAATGTGAAATCGATGGAGGTGTCTGTTTTATTTAGGTTATTACACAGCTTACAGCATAAAATATACGAATATTTTCTTTATTGGTTGATTTCAATTGATGGTGAAAGATTATGTTACATTCGATTAGGTACTGAACCAGAATCGACGAATCTAAAACGATTTTAGGATGTTCAGCCTCTAGTATTTTGCCAGTCTATTAAGCTTCCATCGCAAGAATCCTCTAAATCCAGGATTGGAATTCGAGTCTTTCAGTTATTCATTGGGGAAGGGAAAGCAGTTCTCTTTTGAAATTAGGTTTAACTAACACTCTTGTTTCGACAGTTCAGGCAGTTCTTAGAGGAAGACAATTTCAGAGAAAAACTTCTCTGTGAGCAGTAGCTTTGTGTTTGTTAGCCATAGATCGAGTTGAAATAGCAGATCTGGGAGGTGTACAATATTTGTGAGCAGCTTTTTACGCATATGTTGACATCATTGCCAAATTTGTATTTTTTCTGTGAGAAGAGCAACAACGACTTATTTTTGATACTTTGCTCCCATAAAGTAAATATTGTCCAAAAATACAACAACCCTACGCACTTTTTCAAGGAAGAAAACTCAAGTAACGCCAGCTGAGAAACGATTATGCAGCTACGTACTTACACAAGAACTGACGCCACAAACGATGCAACAGTGACATTTGCAGATAATAACAATTTGTTGGAGTTTTAACTAATTATCAAACCGACCCTTAAAAGGGAGTGTCGTTGTTGCAATTTTCTGCAATATAAATTCTCAAGAGAAAATTTATACGTTTAGAAAATAAAGGTGAAATTCAACAAAGCAAGTATGGTTGAAGAGGAGTATGGAAAAAGGGACGCCTTGTTAAAACAAATACGTTGTCATTGCAATTATGTTACCATGCAAAGGACTTGGAGAAATGATCGAATCAAAATATGAAAACACTGGATATGTTTGGTTGGCGAGAAATTGTGCAGCAGAAAACCAAATATAGGCTCTGCTATTATTTCGAATTAGAGAAAGGTAACTAAAAAGTCCAGTTGATAAGTAGCAACAATAGCATGTATCAATTTTTGTGTGGTCAACACAACGAAGGTTGGTCAGTAGAAAGCAATATAATACATTGACTTGTTTTCACTGACTTGTTTCGAAAAGAAAATGTAGAACGAACAAAAACCGTGAGTGGGCTGTATGATATATAACAAATACACTCGCGTACAGCAACTGATATTAGACCAAACCGAAACAGTTTCAAATATAAATCTGAATTTACGCACCTGTTTCTTAGTCGAATATGTTGGTGGTGGTGAAAGATAATAATAATTTCTTCATGCAATGGTGTGCAAAGAAATAAAATGAAATATTTCATTGGTGATTCTTTTTTTTAATACACGAAATTACGTTAAGTGATTAGGTGTGGCGACAGAGGCCTTATGTTTTCCCTTTCGGTACTAGAAGAAAAGTGAACGCAGAGATTCTAAGTGACCTTGTCTCTTTTTATTACAACTAATTCCAGTATTCAAGTATATTATAGGTTGCTTCTTTGCCCGATTTAGAAATTTGCGTGTTTGTTTGAACCATATAGTAATGTTTAATCTTTTCAGATTTGGCTATAGGGTATTTTATGAAACTAATGCACCAACAATGATAAGTTACTCTAATTTGTTTGGATTTTGTATTTATTTAGCTTACCTGAGGGGTCGTAATTAAAACGGGGTAAACATATGGGCTTTATTATTTTCGAAAATACTATTGGTTTCCGCAGTTTCAACAAAGCTATGTCATAATTATATGTATCCGGATTAAAATTTCTATGCTTTATTATACTCGCAACAGCTCTCTGTATAGCGTTAGATTCTGAAGTTATTTTTTGATCGTGATCACCAAATATAACACGAATTTTAGACTTTCGCAATTTTTTTACACAATGAGCCGCCGTTAATATGTAATCTTTTGTTAAAAGAGAACCACCACAGTGAAATTTTCCATCATACACAATGCGAGCCATCCATGGGTACTGATTAATTCCTGTTGGTCTTCCTCCCACAATACGTATTTCTTCGTTAGAAAATCCGCAATCTGTAAGTATGCCAATAATATATTTTGTTACCGGTATTAGAATAATATATTTTGTTATCAAAATTAGAAAGTACTGTAATGTAATAATAAATGAAACAATGCTAATAATGATTTGTAACAGCGTAACCATGGTACAATGAAGAGAAGGTAGGCCAACATTGAAAAAATTGCAAGTATAGAGGTCTACCTGTTTGGCTTGTAATGTCAGAATTACTATCAAAAAAATCGAAAAACCAAACAACTTGTTGCATTTATTTTGAATAAATAATTGAAAAACGCGATAACTGAATTAAAGTTCAACACTTCTTTTTAAAATCATATACTATATATCTCTAAATTATTATTTCGCTACAAAAACTCTAGATTCTGTCGATGCATACGTTAAAATAAACATTTTGAAAATGCCCGAATTTGAGTATTTTCTGAACAATTTTTCTGTTATTGAAAAGAAAACACATACATAAACAAATAAAGATGACATATTAAGCCAAGAAAATAAAAAATTAAAATCATATGGTTTCATAGCCCTACCTTGATATCATTGTACCATGAGCGTAACCAAAAATTCGAGGTATTCGTTAGACGTTTTCCACTTAACAAGTAAAACACTTGTATTCATATGAGTGGTACCAAAAAAGGTCGAGCGTGCAAAATCGAAAAATTGAAAAATTTCTACATTTATATTAAAAATAGAAAGAAATAATACAAAAACCATGAGTGTTTGTAATTTGAAAATTTTACAATTTACAACATTTATTGTTGGTAGGTTTAAAGCTATGGAATTTAGACTACTTTAAACGTCAGATGAGTATTGTTTTGTTTTCTTTTCTGCATTCATAAAATTAATTTTTTACACAAAGACTTGTGTTCGTTTATTTCTGTCTACAGCCATTTTTAAATATAAGTAAACAGTATGCAAGCACTGTTGAAATTTTTTGGACAGACTACAAGAGTTGCATTTTTAGGAACAAAAAGCAGAGATTGACTTAAACACTCAAATTGAGATAATGCCTTTATTATAGTATAAGTGTCTTCCGATTGCCGACGAAATTTAATAAGGCGACCCAAAGAGGTATAACGACCATGGAAAATTGAGGTCTGGATGGAGGAACGTATTTTTGGAAACAAACAAAATAAGATATAAAATACAATCGATGAATATGTAAACTCTTTAAAAAATTAACACATATATGTAACTGTAAAGTTACGAAAGAAACTGATGTCAAAAAGCTTTCAACAATGCATAGGCAGAAATGATCTATGCGCTGTAAAAGCAAGTAGAACAATTCTTGAAGAAAATCTGGATATTTTTCATTTGTCTGGATCGTTGGTAGCTGCGAAAAAATTATACACTCGAAATAATTAAGCAAGTGGATTAGTAATGGGTTGAATGCGCCTTCATTCCTCTAAGTGGACGAGACAGCCGTTTTTGGCTTTGGACTGAGAGATCACAATGAGGACTTGTGCAGATTATTTACAGTTAAATGCCCGAACCCGAATGTGACCGTGTAATTCATACCATTATCGAAGCAAAGAGCAACCGGGGTAATAATAACAGACATGATGGCAATCGTCGCGAAAGTCATAATCCGGTTTTGAGTTGAAATGTATATCACTTATATTAAGAATAAAAGAGAACTTAAATTTACACTGCACCAAAAAAAGAGGAAATCAAGAATTGAGATTGGACAACATCGATAATTCGATCCACATGGTGTTGATTTATGAAAAAAAAAACCAAAAAAGAGCCTGGAAACAAGGATGATGATGGTGATTGATGATTTTCAAATCCATAGACTTACTTTCTCCTTATGAGATGATTTTTGGTAAATTACCATATTTACTCAATAATGAAATTAAAAAAGAGTTTTGGTATAATGTTTAAGATTTTTGTAATGAAATGAAACAAGGACTTAGATTTTGAATATTGTGAAAAATCAAAAATTAAAAAAAAAATCTAAACCCAAATCTCCAAATTAACAAAAAGTAATTGAAGATTGTTTAGTTTTATTAGCATTAATCAATAGAAATCAATCATCATATTTCGACATATATAAATGTTGTAATGGATGTAAATGGTAAATTGATAAAAGAAGAATTCTAATTAATTAATATATATTGAACAAAATAATTTTTACATAAGCAAAACTTATTTTATTTGTGTAATGTAACGATAAATGAGTGCATGAGAACTACCCTATTCAGCTGATTAACATTTGTAGTTTGTAGAAGTTTTATTCTTTAAGGATAGCCTACAGTGTTGCTGTTTTGGTAATTACCGATCAAATTTCGTCGGAAATCTTTTAAAAACTTTTATTAGGTTGGAAGGGCAATCAAACTAAATTTGTCGATTTTAGGCTCTGTTGTAACATTAATTTTAAACAGCCAAGATTATTAATTGTAATTTTTGCGAAAGTCGATACATGATTTTGAAAAAATCATATGTACTGTGTGAATTCTTTTGTTGTACACGGCGTAAAGAAGATGATGGGTCGGCTTTTGTTTTGTATTGCCCATTTAAAGGATCACGAAAAAACCACATTGCTAATTTAAAACTACGACCGACAGAAAAAACATATAAAGGTTGAGAAGTTTTTTTTAATGATTGCCAACAAAAGCAAAACCGAAACAAATTTGTCGAGTACACTCTTGTTAGGTCTTTCATAACGTACAATCTATCATTTTTACTAATGATCACAATCTATCATTTTTGTTAATGGAATCTGAATCTGCGCAACGATTCTGCAATTGAAAAATTATTACACCGTGGAAGGACAAAATCGACGCAAATTGCTGATTACATTGGTTAGTTTTGCCAACTAAAATAGGTAGTTTTCATTGATTGTGGATGAAACAACAATCCGTTTAGTGCGTTATTTTGATCCCTTTTTTTAGGATTCAAGATAATTTGTTGTCCTAAGTGGTAGTTATCGAAGGAAATGCTGAGTCAATTTATAATATAGTTAAAGATTTTTTGAACCGTTCAACATTCCTTTAAGCAATTTTATTGTTCTAACAGTAGATGATGAATCTTATAGCTTGATTGAAGGTTTGTTGGATTGACGTCTTCATTCAGCATCTAATTTTATTTTTTTTAAATAAAATGTACTTGGCTTTCATTTTGGCATACATCTTTGTAGGTACGTTTGTTAATATTTAACAGGATCAAATTTTTCTCCCACAGTATTAAACGTGTTAAACAGGTCAAACAATTTTTAGTTTTTTGTTTAAATAAATAATTTTAATTTTGTTGGTGGCATATTCTTGATATATTATAATGGGATTTCAGAGCCGCACACGAATCGTCTCACGTTTTTCGACATTGCCATGGCATGAAGTTCACCTGGTTGCTAGCGTATTTTTCGATTCCATAATTGTGACATCACCCGAATGTATCGTCAGATACGGGTAGACGAATGGTCTTGAAATTACTGTTCTGCACGGAGGGAGAGATGCATAATTTGAGAACACGACCTTTTATTCCCTTACATGTAGGGTATATTAATTTTGTCATTCCGTTTGTAACTCCTTGAAATACTTATGTCAGACCCAACAAAGTTTATATATTCTTGATCAGCGTAAAATTCTAAGACGACTTAGCCTTATCCGTCTTTGTGTCTGTCCATCTGTCTGTTGTAATCACGCTATCTTTCGAACGAATTGAGATAGTATGCTAAAATTTTGCACACATGTATATTTTGCCAGTCGTAAATGGGCCATGTAGGTCCACGTCTTCGTATAGTTCCCATATACTGTACCCCCGATATTTTGTATTTTGAATTTAGCAACGTTATATACCGGGATTGTTTCAAATTTGGCATTAAAAGTTCGAAATGGATACTACAGGCTGAGGCAGAAAATTGTGTGTGCAGGTCCACGTATTCGTTTATCCCCCATATAACGGTACCCCCTATATTCGGCATTTTGATGATTTTAGCTACATTATAAACAGATTTTCTTCAAGTTTCGCATTTAAATAGTGTAATAACTATGAAATCGAGGTTGTTTTTAAGAAAAAAATACTGTTCTACGATCGTCCTTTCCTGGCTAAAGAAAATCCCTTCTACTTGGACAACCTTTGTTGCGAATAGGGTTTACAGAATTTATGAAAATTCATGAATAATTGGTATCATGTGCGTTCCGAAGACAATCCTGCCGACTTAGGCAGCCGAGGTCGTTCACCCTCAGAACTGTCATCGTCACAAATTTGGTGGCATGGACCACAATGGCTACGTCAAAATAGTTCGCAATGGGATATTCAAAATCTAGCTCCTTTAGAAATCGACATTGAAAGGCGTCCTATCAAGTGTCATGTCTCTTTCTTTTCGCAATATCAGGATGTGTTAAATAATTACTCTAATTTAGACACAGCATTACGCGCTATAGCTATGGCCTTTCGTTTCTTTTATAAAACGAATCCATCTCATATACATTTCAAGAGATATACCTTACGTACACTGAAACCGAAAGGACTAGATTATGCCTTGTCAACATAGCTCAGAAGCTTCATTATGCGAAAGAGTACGATTGTTTGATGAATAACAGGCCGTTAGATCCAAAAAGTTCGCTTTTACCCCTGAATCCTTTCCCAGATGATATAGAAGTTATGCGACTTAATGGCCGTTTATCTCAATCACAAACTCTTTCATATTCAGAAAGACATCCGATTTTACTACCCTACCATTCAAAATTTTCGCTTCTATTGGTACAAAACTTACTTACGCATGCAATATTGGATGCCCAGAGCAACTTCGTTGATTTGTAAGGTAATTAGAAATTGTAAACCATGCATTTTAGAGAAAGAAAAGGTCGTGTTCACAAATTATGGCATCTCCAACTCCGGAGAGAACAGTCACTTCAAGACCATTCGACACTACAGGCATAGATTTCGCAGGTCCTTTCGATCTAAAATCCTTTACAGGGCGTTCTTGTAAAATCACAAAGGGCTACGTATGGGTATTTGTTTGTTTTCTACGAAAGCAATACATCTTGAAGCTACC